ATAAATTGCAGTCTCATTCCCGAATTGAGGCTCTCTCTGGAATCCTTGTGGAATTACTTTGCGACCAAAAAGACATCTGGAGCTTTGGAAATCGTGTGAGAACCCTAGTCTTCAATTCTAAGAAGATTCAAGGCAACATAAGTTTACTCTTTCACTTTATCTTTGAATAGAATTATGTTTGGATTGTTAGAATTCATTTTTAGGTTGTTATCTGATGTGATTATGAACTAAATCCTTTAGTTTCTGTTTAGGGTAGATAAGTTTACTCCTATGGATTAATTAATGTTTGGATTGATTGTTTGTTGGTTAATTTTGTTAAATTAAGCTTGTTAAAGAACCTTATGCATTAACCATAACTATTTTCTGTTAATTGACAAGTAATTAAGCTGCATGAACATCTCTTAATTGCTTACCTCATATGATTTATGCGAAAACATTATTATATGCCTAGGAATTGTGAATGTGAAACTAGGCTTAACTAAAGAATGAGTAAATTAATGTGTGAGCTTGTGTGATAAACCATCAACAAGAGGTTAATTGAATTATTAATTTGATTAGCTAAATACAAGTCTTATTTAACCCGAGTAAATAAACTAGGGAATCTATTAGTTTAATCACTTGATCACTGCTTAAATGAATTTATTTTCTAAGGATTGGTAATAGCGAATGTGAATCTAATCACCTTAACCGGTAACCAATAACAATTAATCCATTGCATTGCCATAAACTGAACCATAGGAGTAGATGAATCGAACCTAAACATAAACAATTTTATCATTGAATTTAGTTGGTTTTTACTTGCTTTTAGCTGTTAGCTATTTATACTGCATGTTAGTTAGTGTGTTAAAGTTTCTAGTCTTGCAAAACTAGAGAAAACATTTTACTTAATTTACTTGTTTAGTTAATTCTAGTTATTAGTTTAATTTTCGTTCTTTGAGTTCGATACCCTACTTATTCAGCTATATCACTAATAGATAGGTTCACTGCATTTGCGTGTTTAAATTTTGTCTTAAAAGGGGGACTAAAACCCCTGCATTTATATACATATCAGTGGTAAGGATGACAAAAATTAAGTAACTTTGAAAATTTAAATATTACTTCTAATTATGGAGTTTGGCCAACTACAAGTCTATAACATATAGCATATTTATAAAAATATGAAATTTATAATAAATAATATATAATTAAACGGATCATATTCAAGTCATCTTTGAGTTGAAAACCTTGATCCTAACCTTACCCATTTAATTATTGTGTCGTTTCGTGTCACCCTATTTACATAAACGTGTCGAAATCTCTGACCCTAACCCGCTAACTTCGTGTTGGGTTCGTGTCGGGTTTTCGTATTGTGTCATGTTTTGCTAGGAGGTCTAGAGCTTGGTATGCCACCAAAACGCACACCACTGGTTTATTATGACAATGTCAGCGCCATTTATCTCTCTCAAAACCCGATTCAACATCAACGTACAAAACATATTGAAATTGTCACTCATTTCGTTCGTGAAAAAGTGCAATGTGCCAGATTCAGGTGTTACATGTACCCTCCCGATACTAGTTCTTTGACATCTTCACGAAGAGCCTCCTATGAGTTTCGTTTAATGATTTCCGGTCCGGTCTAAGCATCCGTAAACCTTCACCTTAGACAGAGGGGGTATATTACATTAATGATTTATTATACTCTGTTTAATTGTGATATCTTATTAGGTGTTCAACTGTAGTGTTGTTTTGGTATATATACACGAGGGGAATTGATTTTGGCAGAAATCATGTTCGTTATCGTTTAAATAGAAAGGAAGTAAAGTTTAAGAATATGAACCCCGAACATGAACCCCGAAGAGGTTGCAATGATATATATTTCAAGGATGTGAATGTGATCTCTACAATTCTTCCACAAATAATTTCAGTTGACCGTCAGATTTTATTATATTTATATTTATTATTTATTGATTACTTTTGTTTTTTTCTTTCTTCATATAATCAGAGATGTAATGTGCACCACTTCTTTATGGAATTTAAGTCAATAATTGGAAAAGACAAAATAAAAAAGGATACAGCATAATTTTGTTATTTTACCAAAAAGACTTTACACTTTATGTGTCAAATTTAAAGGCTTATAAATATCATCTACAACTCTACACCTAGTTGTGTAAGTAAAATTTAAACCATCTTTCATCTTTCAACTTTTTAATCTCGTATCAATTTAATTTTTCCATTGGACCGTAAGAGTGGGAGGAAAGCTTCTTTTATTTTTGGTGGGTCATATCTTTTTATATCTCTTTTTTCCTTATTTTTTTTTCTCACTTAAAAGCCAATGAATTGGTGGAAAGTCCTTCCTTCACTTTTTATTTATTTATTTATTTATATATTAAATAAAATAATTTTTTTATTTATAATTTTTAAATTAATATCAAACATAACATTTAATTAAAATTAAAAAGCATTTCATTAAGTAAAATAAAAATTACATTAACCTACAACATACATATATATATATATATATATATATATATATATATATATATATATATATATATATATATATATATATATTATATCAAAACAACCTACAACATAGTAAAAATTATTAATTAATATCCTAATTTTATTTAAACCTAGATACGTCATTCGGAATCATCGTCTTCGTCATCGTCTTGATCGTCTGCATTATTCACCTCATATGACCTTGTCCCGACCGTTAGTACTTGCCAACGTTTCTTAAGTACACCAAATGCTTGCTGCACATCCTTCCTAGCTGACTCTTGCGCCTCTTTAAACTTTTTCCTTTTCGGGTCGTTAGGACATGTAAACGATTTCACAAAAACAGACAAGGGATGATATATACCGTCAGTAAGATAGTATCCACGCTTATATGCTACCCCATTTGCTTAAAAAGGTACATCGTGTGACTTTCCAAGGTAAATATCGTTGAATACAGGCGACTGGTCTAGCACATTGATGTCATTGTTTGCACCAGCTGGACCAAAGAATGAATGTCATATCTAAAGATCATATGATGCGATAGCCTCTAGAATGATCGTTGGTTCTTTGTGGTCGCCTCTCATGTACTGACCACGCCATGCGTTAGGGCATAATGACCAACTCCAATGCATGCAATCGATACTACCTAGCATTCAAGGAATCCATGTTTGCCTTCATGCACCGTATACAATTAGTGTACATCGTTGATAGTTGGTTTGCGCATATATCATTGCCCATAAACCAAACAGATCGCTTTGCAGAACTTGTACATAGACTTACGCACGGTACGCTCTGACATCCTAAAATACTAGTACCATTTGTCTGCACCCATGCCGTATGCTAGCTGACGAATTGAAGTCGTGCATTTTTGAATGGGAGAGAAACCTTTTTTCCCCTTGCATCCATTTTCCATTGGAAATATGGAAAATGGCCTTCCAAATCGCCAACAATACGTAAGAATAGTTCGTTCCTCCTTCGGAATCGATGTCGAAACTTTACAGCGTAGACGGCGTCATCTACAAAATAATCTTCTATAAGGTGATCGTGTCCGACTTCGTGATTTCTACGTAACGACAACTTTCTTAGGTTAGGTCGTGCATGTAATGTTTCACCTAGTCGGTTTTGATAATATGCAACCGTTTTCGCCATGACGGAACCAATAAACTTAGCCTCCTCTACCTCCATCGAATCGGATGATGAAGATAATGACATTTTAAATAATATTTTTTAGAGAGAAATATAGGCTATAGGTAAAAAAAGAAAATATAAAATGTTTGAGTATTTATAGGTTAAGAAAAAGGAAAGGAAAAAAAGATATATATATATATATATATATATATATATATATATATATATATATATATATATATAATATTAAACCCTAAACCCGTTTGGAATAAAAAAGAAAAAAAAAGAAAAAAAAATTGCGACAGCCAATGGTTAGAAGAGAGAGAGAGATCGAGACTCTCTCCCCTTACCCTCTTCCCGTCACTCCTTTCTCGCACCATGATGCATTGTGCATAAATGCGGAAACCAATCCTGCGGTTTCCCTGCGGTCAACTCCGTCCAACCTTACTGATCTTTTATTTATTAAAAGCCACAAAATTATTATCTTTCATTACCTTCTATTTTTTTATTTTTTCTTTTAAATATAATTTATAAATATATTATACTTATTTTATAAAGAATTAAAAACCATAAATTTTGATATATTTGTTTTATAATTTTTTAGTATGTATATATTTTAATCAAAATTGAAAAATAAAAAAGAAAAAGAAATGAAAAATTAAATTTAATGCCAATTCAGTCAATGAGAGAGAGAGAGAGAGAGAGAAGTGAGAGAGAGAGAGAGAGAGAGAGAGAGAGAGAGAGAGGAGAGAGAGAGAAGAGAAGAGAGAAGAGAGAGAGAGAGAGAGAGAGAGAGAGAGAGAGAGAGAGAGAGAGAGAGAGAGAGATGCCCTCACCTCTACCCCACACGCCCTAAAGGTATGGTGTAAAGTAAATAGCATTATAAAAAATTATATATATATATATATATATATATATATATAATATATATATATATATATATATTTCTATTCATCTTCTTGCTTATTAAATGGAAGCATATCTTAAAATTAAGAAAAAAGATCAAGAAAATTATAATACATTTTAACATGTTATTATTTTATGTGTATAAAAAAATATTTAATATTTAACTTTTATTTTATTTTCCGTTGATAAGAACCATGCATTGAATTCGTGTAATATTAACCGACTACATGTACTCTTGCACTCTTGCCACCAGCCAACCACTTGTGTCCCACTGTAATTAAACAGATTCCGTTGGCGACTCAACTCCACTGGCTAAATATCCAAAAGACTCCTTCCCTAGAGGATACTATTGACCCCTCGACAGACGTATTTAAAGGGCTGCTCCCTATTGGCTGTAATCCAAAATTCCATTAGCAGCTTCTGCCTTCTTGATAACCACACAAACACCATCGATCCAACAACCCTAAGCTAACTTATCACAGGAAAAGATGTTGAATGGACGAAACCAAATCCGCTTCATTACAATCATTTTGTCACTAACAATCATCCTGATGGTGACAATGATCGGAGGCTGTGACGGATCATTCGTAGCAGCATGCAATGGCAGCAATGTGGCGGAGTGTGGCCAGCAGGTTATTGAGGATGAAGAGCAAGAGTTTCTGATGGATACAGAAGAACATAGGCGGATTCTGTATGGGAAAATAGATAGGCATCTCGTTGGTGCTTCTCAAAAGCCTCATACTCCGGTTTGTAAAAACAACTGCTCCGGAAAAAAAAAATATAATGTTAATGGTCGGCCATGCAGAACTTACGATTTTTGTAGGTCATGATCTCGATTCTGGAGGGGTTTTGGTTGTTGTTTGTTGTTTTAAACGTTGTGTATAAGGATTGGTATATGAGTGATGCTTTGTTTTACGTACCACTTCAATGTCCAATGAAATAAAAGTTTTATTGTTCGTCGGAAAGCAGGTGAACATGTCTTTAATCATTCAAAACCCTTCAATTATTTAGGATTTTTGAGATATATTGTCATGTTTTATGCATAGTTGAGATTCTATAGTATATATGTAGTAAAAAGTAATTTGCTTATCCATTATGTTTTTAACTAGGACAAATTCTTTGTTAAAACATATTTTATATAGTTAGTAGGTTAATGTAAAATTAAGGGCAATGTTATTCCTACATGATTTTTTAAACCTATTCCTTTCCGTATTACTTTTCTTGTGAGAGATTTTTAAATTATTTATTATTTGCAACTTTTCATGTTTTTCACCAATAAAAATAAATTATTATTTTTAAGACATTGAAAATATTATGCACATAATAAGATTATGTACAATACATAGGGGTGGATTTACTATGGTGCCCATTTTGGTACCGGCAACACCTAGTTTTTCCGGACGTAGTGTAAAAAAAATCGATTTTTTTTTTTTATTAATGTACACCTACAAACAAATGATTATATTATTATAATTATAGTTTAAATAAATTATCAAAACTTGAATAGCTGAGTTGGTTTAACGCGATGTCTTGGGTTCATGTCCCACTCTCAACAAAAATTATTTTTGATTTCACGCCAAATCCAGATCTCAATAGTTTTCACAAAATTAATTTGGGCGACTTTTCAATTCTCAAAATTTTGTCGAATTTTCGGTTCTATATTTTTTGGATATCTTTCTCCCTCTCCGCGATCAAAGAGACCACAACACAGTGTGTTACACGATTTCTTTCTTTCTCGCACTTTAATCTGAAAATACGAACGTCGCCATGGAGAGACACAAAGAACGACTGCCATGTACCATCGGTAGAGAAGAAGCACCACCACCACCCACCAGAATTCATATACGCACTAGGTATATCTCCACCATAACCGAAACAAAAATTTCGTTTTTAATGTTCTAGTGTTGAACTTTAATGCAGTTGGGGTTTACCTTTTTTGATGTTTTAGGGTTAATAAAAAATTATTGGACAGGGCATCTTTTGTAAAATGGATTTCCACAGCCTTGGTGACATCGATTTAACAGTCAATTAAGGTGGTGTTAATGAATCAATTGACTGATTAAAACTACCCCTTTATTTGCACAAAACCAATATGCCCCTGCTTTAACAGTTTGTGACCAAACTACCCCTATATACAGTTTCTTCTATTGCAACATCATCAGGATTTTCTTAATAAAAGCAAGTCATGTTGACTGCTTTGCTTATTTGTAATGATACTCAAGCTTGACCAAACTGCCCCTGCTTTAGAGTCTGTTTTCTTTTTCTTCTTTTAAATTGAAATAAACAACCTACACTAAAAAATCATATGGATTCCAATATTGCAGCTTAACAAAGAGCTTGATACAGGGACTTTAACACATCTACTTAGGGCTGTAAACGAACCAAACGAACATGAACAATATCTTGTTCATGTTCGTTCGTTTAAGTTAGCCGAACAACAAACGAACACGAACGAATAAACGAACGAGATTTTCTTGTTCATGTTCGTTCGTTTAACAAATTATTTTGTTCATGTTCGTTCATTTATGTTCGTGAACATGCTAAACGAACATAAACGAACAAAAAAAAAACAAAAAAAAAAACACACACACACACACACAATTGAACATATATGAACATAAACGAACATATAATATAGCAATATATTAATAAATAATTGAATATAGATGAATATAAATAAACTTAAACGAACGAACATAAACTAACATCATAAACGAACGTTCACGAACATAAATGAACGAACGAGACTATTGTTCATGTTCGTTCATTTAACTAAATGAACGATAATTTTTGTTCATGTTCGTTCATTTATTAAATAAACGAACATAAACGAACTCCCTGCCGAACAGTTCACGAACGTTTGCCGAACGTTCAGTTCGTTTATAGCCCTACATCTACTTGATATAGCTTTGGCTAGTCTTGGAGCTGGATTGCATTATGATAAAAATGAAACATAATTACCCTTATAAAAGCTTTTCTTTCACTTGGAAAGTAAAAATATACATATATGATTTTCCTTATAAAATTAAAAATATAAATATATGATAAAACTGAAACATCCGTACCCAGCTGTTCAAGTCATTTTCCCTTACTTGGAAAGTAAAAATTTACATATATATGATTTGCCTTATTAAAGCTTCTGTTCACTTGTTAATAGCTTGCATCTAAGTATTGGACTAATTTTTCTTATTTTTATTTCTCTAATTTGATACCCATTCTCACTCTCAAGTTTACGCTTTCCTTATACACAAGTCATGGGTTTGTTAATCTTGACCGACCTGACACAAACCCGACCCAACACGAACCCAATTTCCAGGTCTATGTTATCTTATATTATCAGATTTTTTTGTGCAACTACTGCTAGTTATTCCAGCGACCGCCCCTGCACACATAGTATACTTCACTTAATTCAAGCATAAACCATCAAAATAATAATCTCTTAACAATATACAAAAACAAGTTTTTAACTTATTACATTCGATACTTAAAAAATAAACTAAGGAGGGCGGCCTTCGGCCGCCACTAACCAACACCTGCGATAATTTGCCGCCGCTAAGCATTGTTAGCAACGCTACCGCCTTAAAGAACGACAAATAGACAGAACAAGAGGCATATCCAGCTACCGTTAGACCACTGTGGATTAACCATCCACTACTACAAAGCAAGGGCATTACCTACAATACAATCCCTAGGTATAAGGCAATACCTATGGATTAGCTACAGAAAAAATGATTATAGCGTAAAAGCCCGTGGGTAAATTTTACCTACAGATTTGCTACGAATTAGCTACAGAATACCTACAATATTTTCCGTACGTAAAATCTTAGGTAAAATACTTACGTAAGATTTTACGTACGGATTTCCTATGAAATAGCGATGGGAGTCAAGTTTGACTAAAAATGACTTTTTACTTCGTGAATATCTACGACATAATTTACCTATGGAATTCCTACGAAATAGCCACATGAGTTGAGTTTGATTAAAATCTATTTTTTACCAACAAAATACCTACGGACCTATTTAGTGACGAATTTCCGTCGCTTTTCCGTAGCTAAACTAGTAAAAGAATTTTAAAAAAACAAATCCATTTTTCTACCTAAATTGCAAGAAAAAAACCAAATACATTAAATCTACAAAAGAAATCTTATTCAACCACAAAACTAATAAATATTACAATACACATTATCGGTTATGATATTGTACTTTGCATTTACTCAATTTATTTCCTAAAAGTAATTTAAATACAAACCAATACAATTCATACAAATACATCACATTTGAATGTGTTATCCTACTTTGTACAAGTTATTACTTGTACTTGACTTACATGATATCATGTTTATGTCTCCCTTTCATATGTAGTTACAATATATATATATATATATATATATATATATATATATATATATATATATATATATATATATATGTGGTATGATAAAGCATGAGAACATGCTTTCGAACTTTGCATGCTACGTAGGTGCATCAATAATAACTCATATGAGTCCCAAATTACACATAAGCTAAATCATTTTTTGAATTGTATGTTACCTCTCAAACTGTACTTTTATCCTATAAAGCAATGTACTTGTAAATTTAACCAAACAAAACCAGATCTAAAATTATAATAGCCCAAATCAAAATAGATATAAATAAGTCTAACATTGTCACAAAATGAACAACATTTTATGCACTAAAAAACATACACACCTCAAATTATGTATTGTTTGTCGCATTTCTATCAAGAATCTTTGCATCTTCCTGCAACATAACATAAATCCTTTTGTTTTGTTGAAAGACAATAAAAAATTTAAAGTTAAGAAATAAAAGTGTAAGTTTATTATTTGGTTAACGGGGTCAACTTACCCTATAAATCTCGTACAATATCAGTTAATTTATCGAAGGTTGTCCTTTCTAAATATTCAGCGGGATCATCAAGTAATTAAACACCAGCTACTACAACCTTCTCTCGTTTCTTATACACATATGTGGGGTGTGTGTTTGGGGGGGGGGGGGGTGCCTTTAATAATAAACAAAACATTAGTGAATGATTAAAATACCCTTCATGCGAAAGTGCGAAGGTATATAGATAGTAAAAGATTACGACATCGTCTTGGTTTGATAGGCTGTAAACCATTTCCCTCTTGGGAAGACCGTTTTCTAATGTACTTATTTTTGTCTTCCAATAGTATAAATTCCAAAATTAAACATGATATATAAATAAATCTACTGTAATAAATGAATGTTTTTTAGTCATTTTTCACACACTCATTTAATTTACCAAATGTTATTTTATGGTTATTTTTTAATTAATTTTTTTTCTTCCAAATATCATTTTATAAGGGTTTTTTTTTTTTTTTTTTTTTTTTTTTTTTTTTTTTTTAAATTCTATATAATATTTTAATGTAATAATTACAATAAATGTAGTAATAAATGGATATCAATGTAATTAATGAACTTACTATTAATTTCAAAATTCTCAAAATTAAACTAATTAGTTTTTTTGTTTATTTTTTTAAATTTAAAAGATAAAAAACATTTCTATTATAATAATTCATTATTTTCGTTATTTATTTTATAAATTCAAAGTTCTTAAATATTTAGACCTTTATATTTATTTATTTTTAAATTAACTCATGTAATATATGGATCTCAAAACTAGTAAATAAATAAATAATAGTATTTAGAATTGACTAACCAATGTCTCCGAGAACATTTAAGTGAGGTTTTGAGGCTTTGTAGCTATGTTTTTCAAGTAATAACCACGTGCTACAACCAAAGCAAACAAAAATGATGTTTATCTTTTATAAAACATTGATTGATAATGATA